CATGTGATGGGCTCAAGGGGTTCACTAGGCTTTCTGGTGAATTCGGCTAGGCCTTGTAACAAAAGCTGGGCCGAACCCATGTGGCTGATGTGTAGATCAATGCTTGGGTCCCACGCCATACAAAGAAGCCCAACTGGGCAGCAGTTTGGAAGCCTGTTGAGTACTTAATGCTTATTCGGCCTAAAGCCCATTTCGAACTGGCTGATTTAATTACCCACTTAAAGGGGCGGATATGAGATTCAAATAAAGATTTGAATTTGGTAACCTCCTGATTAGATTAGGAGTGGGTTGACCTAACCTGCAGATAGGATTAAGATAATTCTCTATCGAAATACAAATTTGGATTGCGATAACTCCTAATAGGATTATGAGGTTTCTTAATCACTAAGAAAGAGGAGAAACCCTAATCTTGAATTACATGAATTCGAACCAAGGGTTTAGCAAAAACATCCTCCTGCAATTTGAGATTGGATCTCAGAAACCCTAGAGAGAAGAAAAGCAAATACGCCAACTTCAGCTCTAGAGTTCTCCTCCAGTCGCCGCCATTCACTGCCTGGTTCGATCTCTCTGAGAGGGAAAGATCAAGAAGGTGTTCTTGATATCAATCTTTGCTGAAAGGCTGATTATGTACGGTGTTTTTCACTTCCATCGAATTCTTGTGAAGAATTTGGTTCGTAGGACGAACACTACTGGTTCTGTTCCAATATCACTGCATCATCTTCAGTGGGAGTATTCTTTGGGCGTGAACACCGACGTTGGGAGATACTGACTCTCCGTATTAGGTATAACCCTTCCCTTTCTCTTTGGTTCAGATCTGGTTCGATTTTGATTCGATTAGATCCTTGAATATAGTATTCTAAAATCAAGGTATATGATTCCCAATTGGAAGGGAGGAGAGAAATTTTTGAAATTCGCTCACCTTGTTCTGCTGCTTTCTTGGTGTCCATACAATGGATCTCTCCCTCCTTTCAGTGGTATCAGAGCCATAGGTTGGAATCTTGAACCAAGAAAATTAGATCTGAACCTGCGCAAATGGGCAGAAGCTGTTCTACATGGATTTGCGCAGATTGTTGTTTTTGTTCCAAGAAATTGTTTCTGGATGTGGGCGATTGATCTAAAATTAATTTTTGTTAAATCTGAAATTTATTTGGAAATGTGCTTAATTTATTTCTTGATTTAAATGGGCTGTTCGTACATGGAGATCAAAGTGCAGATTTGGTGCAGATAGTCTGCGCAATCTTTTTGTAGTTTCTATTCTATTCGGTCTGTAAAATATTTTTTTTTTATTTTTCTAGACTGAATATATAGGATTCAATCAAGAATGTAATTAATTAATAGAAATTAGATTTATGTAATTTTTTATTTTCTTGATTGAAGATGGCGGCGGCACTGGAGATTTGCAGATCGTGATATCACATTCTACGTTTTGCAGTTTATGAAACTGCAACCCTTGATTACTAACTTCTGTTTTGCAGGTGGTACAAACAGTCCATATCTGATTTGTGATTGTCTAAAATCAGAAATATTAATTTCAGATCTTTCTTGAATTGTTTCTTGAATTAAAAATTGGTTTTGGACCGTTTCGGACCAGATTGGACCAAAGTTGTTTGGACCGAATCTAGGGTTC